AAAACTCGCCGATTCCTCGACTGAATGGACTGCCGAATGGAAGGCAGCTGCAAATCTATGCGGATGGCTTCATTCCGCAAGTACCAAGGAGCATTCACAATCATCCTCATCAGTTTATTTTGCAATACCTCCAGAATGGAGATAATATATTTCGCCGCTTGTCCCCAGACGCCCAAAGCATACATGATGAAAGGCTTGAACATCGTGTTGTAGATGGTAATCTTGTTTTTCAAGCTCATTTTTGACCTTCTGTTGATCAGAGGGTACAGACTTGCAATCTGACCCTCGATCCTAGATTTGACGTACATAATGTGCGGGTTCCAAGTGAGCCTACGGTCTTTTAGAAGGCCGAGGTACTTTACCCGCGCTTGCCAGTCAATCTCCCTTCCAGAGATTCTCACTTTTCTGGCCGGAGAAGCTAGCAATCTTCCCATGGTCAATGTGTCTCTTGGATAAGAGCCACATCGATGTTATTCTCAATTAAAAAGTTTTTGAAGTCCAATTTTTTGGAAAGAATGCCATTAGCATTCCAAAAAATTATCTTCAGAGATCTAGGCAATGTTGGTTGTCTAGACAATGGCAGTTCCAGTTATCACGTCGGTATTCACGGTGAACATTTTCCGATGCACGGGTAATTTGACGAACAGCTTTTTCATCTGGTCCAGTGCGGCACAGATGTCTGAAACCCCCTGAGTCTGAGGTGAGGGTTCAAGTCGAGGGGAGGCGGGCTTTGCCGTACTGCCTGCACCCTTGGATGCAGCTCTAGCAAAGCTGACCCCCTCCTGGACGCGTCCAGACCCCGCAGGTCCTCCTGAAGGGGCTGGCTTTTTAGGAGTTGTCTGCCCTTTACGCTGTACCTTGGGGTATGCAGGGCAGCCGCGGTAATTAGCGGTATGGACCCCTTTACAGTCTGGACTTATTCCTCCGAGATCTGACTATTCATAGGCCATTCGTGTGCTTTCACTTATCCCCTCTTCCCTCTCCCGCTTCATCGGTTTTAGCGGAAACTGACCGTTTGGCGGGAGTTGGTCGTGGTTCCGCTTGATTGTAGGTTTTCATATATTATGTATCTCTACGCGAGCTTGGCTACATACGTTGTTGAACAACATGTAAGCGACTTCTTTGAATTTTCTCCTAAACCATTGTTCCTCCTTGTGTATGATTTCAGCTTAAGCCCACTTGCTATTCCTGATTTGCTGGTTACTCCTCGCTGTGTGTGTTTCTTGTGCTGGGCACAATCCCAGCCTCTTAGTTTCACCGATGTATGATTCTCCGCACTCGCAGGGCATCCGGTAAATGCAATTCTTGGAATCGCAGTACGCGTTTGGTGGCCTGGATTTCGTGAGGTTGCTACGGATAGTGTTCTCGTATCTGAAGCATGTTCTGATGTTATACTTGGACCCAATCCTTCTCATCCTTTCCTATAATCCTCTGATGTAGAGACTTCTCTTCCTTGTAGAGCTCTTGTTGTCTTCTAGGTAAAACCTGTTCTATCATCACTTTGGAGTAACCATTCCATTGGAAGTCATTTTTGATGGTCCCTCCAATTGACGCAATAGGGTTCTGTACGATCTTCGTGTATTGTATAAAAACTATACTTGAGGCACTGACTGATCGTTGACTGAAGTAGATTATTTCTAAACATCTCAGGCAACGGAAATACTGAAGAGTATGCTTCATATAGATCACCAGCTCTATACATTGACTCTAAAACAGCTGTAGGGGTACCAAATCTTTGGATCGGGATCAGACCAAGAAATAAATCAATGATAAACATACGTATGGAAATACATGTGGGAAAACTTCTATAAAGGAGGATTAACTGAATGAAATAAGTGGATGCTTCAACACAGTGGGAATCAGCCCAGAATAATTACAAGATACTGAACAGTTCTCATTTGAAAGATACCTGAATGAAATATGACTGTATAACTTTGGATCACAGGAGATAGACCATTCATAGACAACCCAAAGCAACTGTATAGACTAGTACATATATTATGATTGTTGAAATAAGCGATGTCATGAAAAGGTGGGAGAAAAAATGCAATGAGTCCATGATGGTTTAGTGCTTTCTGAAGACGTAAAAGGAATGAATAAGTCAGACGCCTCTCACAAAAAATGTACAATATAGTATGACACCAGTAATTATTGCCACAGCGAAATTTTCAGAATCATTTTGGTACAATTAACTTCAAGACTATATGCAGTTCAGATTCTGTTCACAAAGAAATTTTTGATCTTCTCGAAGAGTTAATTATAGTTTACAAGACTCTTTCAATTACTAACTGAATGTCTTGAATTGCCAGAGACGGCGAATATCAGAAATATCTATACTTCCCTTTTCGAAAGATAACGGGTTTAATTGAGTTAAATTTGTAATAGAATCCATTTCCGAGTGAAATTCACGAATCCATTATCAGCCTGACTTTATTTTCAATTATGAGAGTTCGTTTCGTTGTTAAATTTTATCGTCATTGGGAATTACAGTTTTGTGAATGACGCAACTGATTTTTCTCACATACAAGTTTTGATTATCAAAGCTCTGTTTTGTGAAAGTGGTTATGGCAGAGATAACTACGATACAGTTCATATCAGTTCGAATGAATTGAACATTGAGGATTTCACGTATTTTTGAGTCCATAAGAAATGAAAATGTAGATATAGTAATCATTTTGAGAAATAATACCAATATAAAATGGAAATATTCATTCGAAGAGATGAAATGGGGCACATTCGTTATTATAAACTGAAGTATAATAATAATGAAAATAATTGCATTTACTCAGATACCTTGCGGTAAGCGACTAAATAGTGAGATCCATTGAACAACTGATACCACTTTGGCGAACTCGCTTTACTATAACATCTAGTCAAGCCAGAGTCCAAACAGGGTGGGTCACTTTCAGAAGGGGTGTATTTCAGGAAAATTCCCTCAGTCCTCTTCTCTTCTGCATCTCACTATTGCCATCATTCGTTGCGCTCAGCAATACTCGAGGGTATAACTGTGGATCTCCATCAGTCCTTGAGGGTGGTGGAAGAGTACACTCAAACTTGGACAGATCTGGTCATCGGAACTGTCAGGGAAGAACAAAGTTGCTGCAACAAAAATATTCTTGTCGTTCCAATCTTACTCTACTCGTTTGGAGTAGTGAAGTGGACTCGGTGAAAGAACCCATAAGCGTCCCACTGTCCTCCGACACTGCTCATAAGCCACATATGCTCTACACTGTAGGTGGGATCTCCATGTTAGCTTTCTGTCGAGGATATTACCGAGGTATTTCACCTCTTCAGAGAAGTTTAGTTTGCTTTTGAAGATTTCGGGAGGTTTTAAGCCCGTTAAACTTCTTTTCCTGGTGAGAAGGACCATCTCAGTCTTCTTGGAATTGATCGACAGTGAGTGTTCCTTACACCATGTTTCTATTAATTTGAGCCCATCCTGCGCTCTATGGCACAGTGTGTTTACAAATTTGCCGGTCTGCAAGATAATTATGTCATCTGCGTATGCAATTGTGTAGATTACATTTTTGTCAGGGTATCCAATTGAACCCGGTTACTTTTACCCCAATTTGAAATCACTGGTAAATCCTGATTAAGATATACAGCCTCCTGCTGCCGGTGAAGATGTGCATCTGCAGCCGATGTCGTGGAATCCGAATGGAATGACAGACAAGTGTTCTGTAAAATATCAAGCGCAACATCTCTCTCTTGGCTGTTTTTTCTTCAATAAAACGTTCAACGTTTGATTCTTTAATAACAAATGGACCAATTTCGAAAAAAAAATACAGAGGTAAGAGAGGGACAAAAGACCTTTCAAATGATGTGTCACTCGATCCCCATGCCATTGAAAAAAATAGGGGGGGTTAGTTGCTAGCCGCAGGAGGGTGAAGTTTCTGGTATGATTTCCATATCAGAATTAGTCCCCCTAGAAATGAAAATCGACGTGTTCTTTGAAATGTTCGATTACACGTACGTTTCTGACTTAGAGTGGGGTCAAGTCATTGGAACTCCCTGTATAGCTTGACGCGGAGATGTTCCTCAAGAAACACCAGCATGCGGTTTTCGCGGAATGAAACGTACGTGACTTGAAACGTTGTAATGCAGCCCTCGTAAACGAGAAGCAACTTTAAACAGGTGCATTGAGAATGCATTATCCGGTAACAGGTTTATTTATTCTTGGAAAAAAAAGAATTATTTCGCACAATTCGGCAGAACTGGTTATAAAGACCGCTGATGAGGGTGAGAGATTTCTTTTCTCTTTTGAAAGTGTTGTATTGTGTTGTTATCCTACTAGGTGAGTGTTATTTTTGCAATAAGGATTGTTTTTGGATTATTTCAATGGAATTCGCAGCTTTCAGTGTGATTATTATGTGTTTTTGAATATTAATTTCTGGGATTTTTCGAAAAAATATTTCATATACTTACAAGTTCGTTATTTGGGAAAATAAAATTTTCAGTCAAATTCTGAAAACGTCTGAAAAACATTAGTATTTTTCTGCTTCGAGAATTAAACTTCGGAAGGATGACAAACGTTAGACATGTTAATTAAAAAAAGAATAATTCCTGGTGCTACTCTTTCGTGAGAAAAATATGGGGAAATATGGGGAAGTGTGAAAGTGAGAAAGCAAGGAATGAAAACACTTTTGCCTAATTTTCACTAGTTATTTAATTTTTACAGCCGGTTTCGAGTTTTATTTCATTATCAGGTATAAAAACTAACTAATAACATTTGAAACTTCAAAACGTGGTTATATAAGGAGTTTCACCATTAAAGTGCGCACCATATGGGAAACTTTTTTTTCGAAAAGTTTCAATGAAGTTCAACTTTGGCGCTTGTATGTGCTTTGAATTTAACTTAAAATGATGCGGCCAACTGCGACCCGCTGACGTTCAGTATTTGACAAATTCAACTTTTTTTTTGAAAAAAATCGAAAAAGTGCATTTCTAGATCGATTTTAACAAAAAGTTACTTGAAAAAGTTGTGTCTATGGCAATTTTAAACTGCTTTAGTGTGGTATGCTCAGTTCTTATGGAAGAGAAGGAATCTTTATATTCATTCCTGGAAGGTAGACGGTCCATTTTCACTTCCGTTTATTGGTTGTGGATATCTAATATTGGGGAAAACGGAGAGTAGTATTTTTTAATTTGATTCTCACGAAGTTGAATGCTCAAAAGTTTATTTTTTCAGGTGTGATTAGTATCATTTTGAAGTTACAAAATAAAATACCATCGAAATTATTGAGGATGTGGTTGGGTCCCAGACTAATATATTTTGTAGTAGATCCTGAACACATAGAGAAAGTGCTGAATCATCCAAAAGCTCTGGATAAGGAGCCCGTTTACAAATATGTAGCTAATGTAATTGGATTGGGTTTGCTGACAGCTCCAGGTTAGTTGTGACTCTATCTTATTGATAATGATCTAAAATATCATAATAGTTTCAATTTTATCACACATTTTTGGTATACTTATCAAATGTACGTGAGGAAAATGAAAGAGAAATTTCAAAGGATACAAATCATAAAGAAATTTACTCATTACAAGAGATTTTGAATATAAGTTTTTGAATCGATTGTTTTGTTAACAGTCAAGAAATGGAAGTACCACAGAAAACTCCTAGCTCCTTCTTTCAATCAGAAAATACTGGACACTTTTGTAGAAGTTTTCGCAGAACAGAGTATTACATTTGCGGACCAACTGAAGACCGTGATTGGACAAAAAAAATTCGACCTATACCTCTTGGCATCAAGATGTACTTTGGACATAATTTGTCGTGAGTTTTCTTACATTATCTCGAAGAATGATGTTTTATCTAATGAGGATGTGGGGCGATCATTATTAATTGAAAAAACTCTANCACTATGTGTTCAGATCAAGTTGACATTGCTCTCCATTTGAAACAGTTCATTTTTCCCTCCAAATCGGTGGTGGATTTTGAGATGATATTATATTTTCTTGATTCAAAATAGTTCATTTTCGCAATTATATAATCAAACGAATGATGTCGTTGAAGGACCATGAAATTCGACTTCTTTGTTGAAAAAAGTGTGATTTTCTGGTGGAACATGGCGATGTTGGCATAAAGTAATAGTTTTTCCAATAGAGATAAAAATTTCAAAGCAACCTATGATCTTCTTTTGAAGACATACTTTTTACTGTGTATGGTGGATTCTATACCTTTCCTAGCCAGATACGATCCTATAGATTTAAGTAGTGCATTGTCAAATATTACTTCAATATCGAGGAATACAACAACACAATCTCCTTGTTGTCAAGATATTGTGAAATTTTCTCTTTCAACAGGAAGGATGTAAGGCTGATTGGTCGTACCGATTCAGTGTGTGGGTCTTTCCGACCCACTTCACATCCTTCGCAATCTACGTTATACTGATTCATGTAGACCTGTTTTCAAGCAAAGGAAGATATTAACAGTACCTTCTCTCTATATTTATAACTGTCTGCGCTTCGAGGAAAACGCGAACTCGAATTAGAAACTGACTCCCAATGTCATAATTACTCAACAAGGAACGGGAATTTAATCAAACTACAACAACATCGTACAAAAATATTCGAAAAGTCGCCATCTCTAGCAGGTTCTAAATTTTTCAGTTGTCTACCTTCCGGCCTAAAAAGTGTAGCATCAATTTCAGTATTCAAACGGAGAATCAGAGAATATCTCGTAGATGGTTGTTTTTACAATAATAATGAATATTTTGAATATCCACGTTCGCCAATCAACAATTAATATTATGTACTACATTACCTATTTCAACTATTATGTACATGTATAAACCCTTTCGATTTTTTATTTCAAACAAGCACTCTCATGTGTTAAATTAATGCATTTTGTAATACTGTTGTACTAATGTTTATATACATTTCATGTTTTTTACCATTGACGACTCCTATATCATTGTGAAGTGATCATTTTGAGGAATAAAGATATTGTATTGTATTGATCCCCATTTATCCTTGTTTTTGGTGGTTTCAGTTGTCTATCGATAGCATAGATGATGTTTCGATACTTATTCAAATTATATATTTCTGTGTATCAACATTGAAAAGTTCGATAATTTTGTTTCAGAAACGGCAATGGGGGTGAACATGAATATTCAAAAGGAAAAAGGAACTTATGGTGTGATTTTAGACAGGTTGGTACAAAACTGTTTTTCTTTTCTGTACTTTCCTTTTCTTTCTTTATTTTGTTTCTCCGGTACTTCGCTTTGTTTTTTTTACTCTCAATCCCTTCCTTTTCCATTCTCTCTTTTCTTTACCAATCCTTTCCTATGTGTCCCGTTACCTTCCACTTCCTTTTCCTCCCTTCCCCTTTACCCCCATTGCACTTCCTATGCCCCTATCCATTTTACGTCCCCTCCTCCTTTCCCATCCTCTCCCTTTTCATCACCTCCTCTCCTCACTCTGTCCTTTCCTTTTCTTCGTTGAATACGAATGATATCATTTATTGACAAAATCCTGCTATTTTCCAGGGCTATGGAGATTTTGACTTACAGGATTTTCAGAGTATGGTACCATGTGGATCTATTATGGAATTTTTCTCCTTCTGGAAAGATACTCGATAGATGTATGCAAGTTATTCAAGATATAACTGGCTCTGTAAGTTGAAAACCAGTTTAACAGCCTGGCCACGGGGCACTCGCCGATGCGTATTTTCGCGCGGTGCGAACGGCGAAGCGTCTAGTGACTGAAATAAACGCACAGCAATGTATAGTATTTCCAATACTAATTGCAACAGCTCAGAGAAGGAATTCCCGCCTCGACATAGGCGTCGGCATATTATTTTCCTGTGGTAGTTTTTCAGTTACTTATTCTTACAATCATAGCAATTGATCATCCCATGAAAAAGTTATCTCAACTGAATTTTTCCACCATGGGTAAT